TTTTTTTTTTTTTTTATATTTTATAACCAATGCCGTAAATCGACGTGTCTGGAGAAATATTCTGGAGCCGTTGGTGAACGGCAGAAAACGGAGTGAAGAATATGTGATGCTTGTATGTACTAGTTAAGCAGACACTGATTCAGGTATATTCGACATTTGAAAATCAGTTTTTTTTTCTTTTTTTATTTTTTTTCCAAGCACACGGAATAGTACGGATTAAATTGGAGAACTGATATCTGTAACCAAACATCCTCCCTGATTTCTGTTCCGAGAAACCCGTCTATCTTGCATTGGTCGTTATGAAAATCCTCTAGAATTTTAGCCTCGATCGGCTAATCGCATCGGTGCTTCTCTATGAGATGAGCGCTACTCTTGACTTAGGCCTCTACTTCTATGGCGTATATATATAGAGGTTGCTTTAAAATTTGTTTTATTTTCTTTGCATACAATTATAATTACGACTGCGAAGTCAGCAACAGTTTTCTGCCCGTAATTTTTGTAATCGGAAAAGGTGTAAATTGACAAGAAATAACTTTGATGTTCTGTTAAACTGTTGCTTATATTGTCATAGCAGTTTTTAAGGCTACTGATGTACTGAAGTCACAAATTTGTAGAGTATAGGTCAACCTAGATACTGCGCCTTCAGCTTACTATTTTCGCAGGCACTGTATAATGGAAAAATTTTTATTCTTCGCATTCATTGTAATGCGCGATCATGGTTAAATACTCGTTAGATGGGTAAGAAATGACAAATTTTGATGATGATCTTTTCCAGTACCTAAGCAGTAATGGTTCAGAAGAAATCATGCTTGAAAGTGATGTTACATCTAGCAGTCTTATAATTGTCAGCCGTTCTACTATGCAGTCAGTTCTTTAAGTTCAACAGTTTCTACGCTTTTTGAAGCAGTTGTCTTTTCTATAGACGCCTTCGTCGAAATCCGACTTCGTAAACATTCAGATGCATCGATTGAACGACTTATCATTATAATTCTCATCTCTTATTGCTTAATACGGTAGAATGAGCAAGTTCTTGGGAACATGAAGAAAATCGGGAATTTAAATATATTATATGGAAAAAAACCAGTCTTATAATTATTTTGCTAGTACCAGTGTCGTGCTGCTTTGTCTTTTCAGTCTTCTCAGCAGAACATTCACTTATTATTTGTTCGCAAAAGACTTTAGAGCAGTGAACTAATAATCTTCTCAAAATTGGGTCTTTTTTTTTTCAGATCGCTTATTTGACTTCTATTTCTTGTACCGGAGTTCCTAGGCTTAAGTTGTTCTTATGAACTTGGTGAAAGTATTACAGAGATGTGTTTCCCCAAATTGTTGTCCGACGCTAAAAACCATGTATTTCCGCTATTTCTCTTCTGGGTTTGTTTATTTTCAACACTTTCCGCCTCTTTTTCTCTAAATTATATATTTATTTCCGTTGAAAACCTTAGAAAATGCATTTTTCTTTCCGTCAACTAACTTCAAATTCTTATGACTTTCCTAAACTTGCCGTTTTTAGTGGACAAAAATTAAAGTAATCCCTCGTGAATGTCAAGCTATGTGACTGCGAACTAGAATTGTTTCAAAAAGGTCTCTGGTGTGCATAAGGAGTTTTCATTTTACTAGCAATACATTTTTCAGAGGAGAGACTCCCAATTCGATTACTAGAGCTACAGAGGAGTGTCGAAAAAAAATTGAAAATATGAAACCTTCTGAGGCTTTCTTGTCGACGCTTCCAGCAGCTGATAAGGACCTTGCTGAAAAAATATTTAAAGAAGTTGAAGTAATTTTTTATTTAATTTCTAGACTTTAATGTTTGAAAGCTCCGTTTTTTTGAATTCGGAGTCTAGTCAGTTACTCTTATAACAGTCACTCCAAAAATTTTTTGTTTAGACCATTCTAATTTTTCAAAATTATTTTAGATTTACGTATGGATGTCTGAGTTCTCCCCGTCTAAATTGCTCAGTGAAAATTGGACACAACTTTTGAAACTTCCAACCATCTTAGAAAGAGTTCAATATCTCGACTTTTTAAGCAGAAAGGAATACTTCAAAACAAAGAAGGAAGTGAAAGTGTGCATTAACATTCTCCGTTTAAACAACGACTAGTCGTAATAAGATTCTCATTTTACGTTTACGTTCATCTGTATAGTAGAAAATATTCATTTTTTCAGAAAGCTTCCAAAGAACAAGTCAATATTAGTGGTTACAGGGCTCTCTTAAGTCCACTAAGGAATTCTAAACGTACGTAATGTGGCTTTTTGGAAGTCACTTAGTTTTAGTCTTTCTTTAGTGTAATGAAATTGTTTTTCTTTCTTCCGCTGCCGAGGTTTCTGTTTCAGATATTGATCTTCTCATCGGAAGTAGGTTTTTCAAGACTATGCGACTCAACGAGAAACCTCAAATGGTTGCTGATGTAAGGTTTCTTGAAAATGACTTAAAGTCTGCCCATATATCCACTCTTGGTCGGCAAATGAAAATTATTATTCAGGTAGATGTCACTGAGAAGTTTCTTTCAAAATTATTATTTTCTTTGTTCAATTATAACTTCATTAAGTGCAGGGCTAAAATGCAAGGTGATTTGGTTCCTGGTGCTGTGCATCCGTAATTTGTTTGTTAAATTACTAATTTTTTTTAAATAAGCAGCTACAGTCAATGAAGCTGTACGGTAACTCAGAATTGTTGGCACTTTTTGGAATTTTATTTTTTTAATTTATCGTAATTATCTTGGGGACAAACTTGGCTTTTGTATATTTAGACCGTATTTTTATTCATTTTTAACCTGTTCTTGGTTGGAGAGGTGGATACGAGAAAAATTTTCTTAACTTGATCGGTAAATAAGTAAAATTTGTATAATTGAAGGAAAATTCAATTCGCCGAGAGCCATTCTTAATGACGATGGCAGGTTTTCCAAAGGCTGGGGAAGTAGCATCACAGTTTTTAAAGTGAGCTTACTTGTCTTGCTTAATTGGAAACGCTTAACTTACAACTAACCTCTCATCGAATTCAAAATTTTACTGTGTATCAGCTTACTTTACAGGAGTGTCCAGTTTTATGACTCTCCTTATTTAGCACAAAAGTTTCTTCCGGTGTTAACTAAAAAATCAGTCGAAGAAATTTTTCCTGATAGGAACGAGTTTGTTTATATAAGCAGGTGTGTTTTTTTTTCATTTAAGTTTTTTATGTTTTTCTCTCTTTTAGTTGTAAGTAATTGAGAACGCGAGATTGGAAGTCGTAATAGACAGCTAACTGGACATCAAGAATGAAGGAATTTAGCTGTTACTTATGCTCTTTCTTTGTGTGGTAATTATCTTTTTCTATCGCAGACATGCTAAACGTTATCTAGAAGGACCTCTAGACAAAAAGGCGTATGTATTTGGCCTCTGCTTCGATTATGGTCGAGAAACCCTTGGCGTATGCCGTACACATGGATTTGATATTAGACGTCTTCCTATAGAGAAACATGTGAAGTAACTTTTAAGGACATTTAGAATAGCTATGTTCAGGTCTTTTTTGCACTAAAGAACTTTCAATGTTAAGCAAGTATGTAATTTATATCATTTTTTCAGTGCTGTTTCAGGTGGGTTGTTGGACCGAAAATTATACCATATCCGAATATAGTTCGAATTTTGGACAATGTTTATGAAAGCAATGGAGATTGGGGAACAGCTCTTTTGAATAACATTTCGAAGTATGCAATAGCTTACCCTTCTTGCTGCTGAATGAAATTTTTACTTGTCACTTGTTATGATCTCCATAGAATGTAGATAGAGAATTCAATTTTACTTGTCATTATCACCTTATCGTTTACAGCTAAAACAAATTAAAACAAATTTGACTTTTTGGTTAGATTTCTTTCTCTGTTTTTTTTTCCTACTTTTTTTCTAACTTTATTCCAACTATTTTTTACAAACCACTTCTGTAAGTCAGATTTTTTTACTGCAAGCTTTAGGCGGCATTTACGACAGGAGGAGGAGCAAACTGCTTCTGCGCATATCACAAGGGAGATAAAGCGCGAACAGCACGAAAGGTTCGATGAATTGGTTCGTACAATAAAAGAAGCAACATCTGTCTAAGTGGAAGTGTGATTTATCACTTAAATGTGAACTCTGTTTTTTCCAGTAGAAACTTTTGGTTTTGCTATTATGTTAGTTTCTCGGACGTAGTTTAGCTACGATTGTTAATTCCAACAACAATTACTCAGCCCACATGTTAAGTGTTGTTTTTGACAACTGGAGTTGTATAAGCATCCCTAAAAAATCATTTGCTCACTTACACAGATGGCTCTCATGTGTTGAACTTCTGTCATTTGCTTGTATTCCTTAAAAGTTTATGAAGAACCTGTAGAGAGGGTCCTGTTGTATTACAAAGGAATGAAGAAACAGATACCTTGTTCTGCTATGCAGGACTTTTGGGAAGTGATTATTAAGTATTCCATGCAGTCATTTTCGCTTTAGATTGATCGACGCTTTTTAGAGATAGATTTACAGAAACAGTAAAATTGAAAATACAAAGTTTTGCTTCACATTGCTTCTCCAAAAGTTGTACGTAAAGTCATTTAGCTTTCGAAGATTTCTGACGCTTTTCTGGCACTCACGTCGTTTTCTTATTTATTTAAGTGGATAGGTTCCTCTGTTCCAAGAATCGCTCAGATAGCCTGCTTATTTTGTTAGATAATCGGCCACATTACCATGGGGAGGTCGGCTCATCGAGATGACAGGCGGCGAAGAGACCACGATCGTAGCAGGAGTCGTGAAAGGTCAGTTGCTACTAGTTCTGGTCTGAATGACCAGTAGGGAATTTAGAGTACTTTAGCGGAAGAGGGCTTGTGCGAAGCCATTTTTTACTGCATGGTTTTGGTTGCAGATTATTGAGCCTTCGCATTATTTCCAGGGTTCTCATAGTTCTTTTTAGGCGACATCATCACAGCGAAGAGCGTAAACACCCTGTGAAATCCAGCCACTCCAGTGAAAAGCAGAAAGATGTTTCAAAAGTGAGTTTGCAAAAAAGATCGGATTATCAGCTTTTCTCCATTATCAGTTTATACAAGTTTTTAAAGTCGTCCTGGAGGAGTAATATTTTCCTGGTCATTTTGACTCATCGTAGTTTTCGCAAATATTTATAGAATATCGAAGCTGTTAGGTCACATATGCGGTCTGCTTTGGATTCGGTTGTTGCTAGTACTTCCGTTCAAGCACTGGAACCAGAGACTGGTAAGATCTCTTTTAAATACTCTTTCCACTTTCAGACACTTTTGAGTATGATAACTATTCAAAATGGTGCACCTTGCTAAAATCATTTGGTTTATGTGGTCATTTCTTGCGCAATGATCTCTCACTTTTCTCAAAATTCATAGCTGTCTCATTGTTGTTGTACTGGCAACAAATTTTTTGTTGTTACGCGCATGTATTTGCAACACCGTTGTGTTTGAGAATGGTGTTAAAGAGATTTGTTAGAAATCTTAATTATAAAAGCAGTTAATGAACAAAGTTCTATCTTTTTTTATAATTTTTAAGAATTTCTTCTTAAAGACCGAATTTTTTAATTACATTTACACGGAAAAGAAATACAGTGCAGAGCGGTGATATTTTCAAGCCCTCACGTTCTAATATAACGGAATAGAGATATATTTAGCTGTTGATCTTGACCTGTCCGCCACCGAAGCTGCAAGCCGCCATCGAGAAATAGAGCGTATTGAAGAAGGTGCTTTTCGACCTGCTGTTTTTCAGTCTACAGCAGGAGGAGCTGGTGGAAGGATTAGGAAGGAGGTGAGTTTTTTGGATAGGAAATCCATTTTTTTGACTTTTGAGTTTTCCAAGAGTAAGAAAAATTTTTAAAATTGCATATTTTCTGTTGAAGGATGCTTCTGATAAGTTTGCTACTGTTGAGAAGAAACAAGTAGCACACGATAAGGCTATTTTTGGCGCGAAATGGCAGGACCTACAGAAGCGAGAAGTTTCTGATACAGGTGACAGTGAGCTTTATATACCTGAGTCAAAAAGGGAAGTCGAGTTGGCTGGACCCAAGGTTAGAAGCGACTTATACATTTTGAGCCTTTTCTTTGGCCATTATTTCTCTGCGAGATAGTTTTTCAGTTCTTCGTTGACGTGAAAGTTCGAGAAGAAAAATGGTTGAAACTTTTTCGTGAGAGGAGGTCTAATTTAATGTGCTCATGATGGTTTTCTTCGTTCTCGGTAATGTTATATTCTTAAATTCGGTTTGAGGAGTGCAGCAGGTCTTATCTTGAAGATTAATCTACTCTTTTGCTTGTGAACATTCAGCACTTTGCCTTGTTGCTTCACTCCAACTTAATTTCAAAAAGTTTTCTAGGAAAAAATCTTAAATTTTTTACTTTTTGAGACTCCGGGCTTTTTTTGCCAGTTACTGGTTTAGGTATGGAAGTTTGTATGGATATTTACCACAGATTTATTTGCTGCGACGATATTTTTCGGTTTACGCAGACTGAATTTCAAGAAAACCTTTCCATTAAAGTCGTTCATCTGATTAGTGGGTCAGTGTTCGGACTCATCTTTCTTTTTCTTAAAACTTCTGTATAACCTCTCCACGTCAACTTCTACTAGCCAATTAAATAAAGAATCTTGCTTTTATGACAACTTCACGTCACCTAGTCCGGTGTACAAAGGAGGTTCTTCTGGACCATACTTACAATAACTACTTTCACAATTTTTTTGGCATTAAAATAAACATTTCATCGCTTGATATAGGACACCTGTCAACTTTATATTCACTGAAGGATGTTTGTACAAGTGGTTCTGATTTCATTTCCGTTTATAAAACCTTTTTAATTTGACGGAGGAAATTTCCGATGACTTCAAAACAAGTTGCAGAGCGACTTGGACATTTTGCATGTTTTTCAAATCACTAGTTTTCCCAAACTTTACTGCTACTGGCTGTTTCCAGTAATACGGGCTGGTGAAACAGTCTAATTATCCACTTCACTTATCTACCGCTTATAGTAGGCTACAGCTACTTATTTATTTGAATGAACGAATCATACAAGCGAGAATCGGTTTTGACCAACAGTATTTAGCTTAATAAAGAAAACACAAGATTGCCAAGTTCTTACATTGAAAATGAAAGGCTAACCGCGGTCCAACCCTCAAACGCAATCAGCAGTGTCGCGAAACAAAGAGCACTGTCTATAAACTCAGCTGAGATTATCGGATTTGTCAGAAAACTAAAACAAATAATCATTCTGCCGACGATATCATTCTGAGTCAAGCGGGTGTTAGTGAGATAAAACACGCGCAGGTAATAAGTTTCGGCACAACAAAAACTAGAAATGTTGAAAAAACGTTCCTCAAGCATTAGATCTACACATACATTAATGCCAACTAGTTAAGCAAGTGCCATTTAGGGGGTTGAGATTCCCTGCTGAAATCACAGTCACAGGGCGCACAGATCGATTAGAACCAGTTTTGTTTAAAAAGTAAGCAACATACAATAAAGGAACAAAATTTTCTATGTTTAACAAATCAGATTCATAACATAAAAGGTATGGAAAAAATTACTACAGTTGAAGGACCGATGTTCAATCAACCAGAAGTTAGAGTTAACAGAAAACGATGACCAGCTTTTTAGAGTAGTAAACCAGTTGAGAATAAACTGAGTACAACAACAATTTAAAAACAAAGTTCAGGAAGTTTTAGTTACGCAACCACACAGTTATGATTAAAATCTGTCGACCTGATCTTCAAATGTGATCTCGAGTCCAGTCAGAAATATACGTCACGACCCGCTCCGAACTTGGTAGTATAGCATGGAAGTTTAACATCGCGTGAAATCCTGTACTAAAGTGCTTCCAGGTAGTTGGCACTCCAGCCTTTAGCAGCCTTCTTGCATAAAGTATGCCCTCATCCCTAAGAATGTCGTGTTCCATGGTGACGACCAGCGCTGGAGGAACTCTGCTTAAATCCGGTTGTACAATTGGTGAGAACTCGGGATTAAGTAAAAGAGGCAACAGTCGCCGCGACGTTTCCTCACTATACTTTTGTTTCCAAGCTGTGATGTTCCTTCCGTATCTGTACAGTATACCAACAATTATACCATCCACCAATGGATTATTGCAGGGAGGAAAAATATTGTTACAAACCTGAGACTTCTGGGGATTAATCGCAAATCAACATAACGTTGGACGGTATACCTAGTCTGTTTTGACATATGCTCGTTATCTAGCGCCTGACGAGTCATCTCTTCGTTCATATCGTCGTCTACTCCAGCGTACATAAGGTAATATTGGGCTATTAGTCGAGGATCAACAAATCCAGTTCCAGACATCACCCGATAAAAATACTCGTACGATGGAGTTCGCAAATTATGAATTTGAACAAGTGGATATATCAGTACTTGTAACTAAAATAGCGGTTGAAAAGTTCATTGCCGTTTAAAAACCACGCTACAGATAAATTCCATCGAAATGTTTTTCCAAACCTTTCTGCTTACAAATTTACTCTTATCGGATTTGGTGCTGCTGGTGTATTATTCTGAAACGTAATTCAAAAACAGGGACAAAAAAGCCAAAAGATCAAACCTTGGGCTGCATTATATCTTGTCGATTTCGTAACCTGTAAGTTAAAGACGCAATTAAACCTCCTCCCGCAGAGTCTCCCATCAAAACAACACGGCTTTTATTAATACCGTACTCTAGACAACCATGCTGTAAAACGTGAAGTACCATTTGTTCGCAATCATCTAAAGCAGCGGGAAAGACATGTTCAGGCGCTAAACGATAATCCATCGAAAAAGCGATCTGAAAAAGCATTTTAAAGAAACGAGAATAAAATTTGGCGATGCGTAACAAAACTTCTACCGTTTTCGTTCTTCTTACAATTTCCCGAATAACTGATTCGTACATATCCATAGTGCCCAAAACAAAGCCTCCACCGTGAATGTAGATAATGGCCCCATCACTAGAGCGATTGTGCGGTATGTATATGCGAGTCGGAATGTGATCAATTTTAAATTCTTTTATCGTGACATCTGGATCTTCCATAGACCACGGCCCGACAGCTAGCATAATATTTTCAAGTGTGGTCCTCATCCACATCAATTCGCATTTAGCATTTGAACAAAACCTTGTCTACACAAACTTTATTTTAGAGCTTCCACTAGAAATCTATATA